TTCGATGGACAGGTAGTCAATGCAGATTAGTTCAAGCGGGACAGATGGTAAGATGGCTTCCAGTGGTGCAGTTTCTTTCCTGGCTTTCCTCCTGATGCATCTTTCACAGTTTGAACAGTAAGTTTGGATGGAGGTAGCCATGAATGGCCAGAAGAATCTCTGGCGGGCAAGGGATAAAGTGCTGTTGCTGCAGGGATGTCCAACTTGATCATGAACTCCATGAATTGCCTCCTTGTGATATTGTTTGGGGATGACCAGCTGTTGGCGTTCTATACCCTTGGCATCAGTGACCATTCTGTAGAGGATGTCATCTTTAATAACAAGCTTCTCCAGTTCTCGCAGGTAGACATGCATGTCGGGATGGAGTTTGGATGTCTTTGCTTTGCATGATCCCTCCTTTGATTTTAGTACTAACATGATTTGACAGATTTCTGAATCCAGGCCTTGCGCTGTTTTCCAATCCACTGACGACATCCCTCGATCATGGACTGTAGGTGGCGTGACCAAACTGTCAGGAACTGCTTTCTTGGAACAGGAAAGAGCTTCCACCAGAACAGGTTCTTCCGTGCTGGACATGACAGAGTTTTGAGAGTATGCCATGCACTTCTTTTCTTGTCTGCTTATTTCTTTGAGATTCCCTTGCTGCCTACCCTCTGAACTGCTGTGAATGCCATGACATTGAAGAATAGCCCGGATTGAGCATGAGGAACACTCCACCACTCCAGATTCTGGAGCATCGAGGGGTGTGCTCCGAGCAATCAACCATTCTATTCTTTCAGTGTCCTGTTTAAACTCTAGATCTTGTTCTTGAGCTTCCTGTGGCAAGCGGCATAAAGCATCTGCATCAGTCATCTGCACTCCTGGTCGATACTTGATGTTAAAGTTGTAGACTGCTAGGGCTGCTAACCATCGGCATCCTATGGCATCAACTTTCGCCGACTTCAGGACATATGTAAGGGGATTGTTGTCTGTTACGACTGTGAATTCCGAACCATACAGGTAGTCATGGAACTTGTCAGTAACAGCCCACTTCAATGCTAGAAATTCGCGCTTGTCTGCTGGATAATTTGCCTCACTTTTAGAAAGACCTCGGCTTGCATGGCGATGACTTTCAGGCTACCGCATTGTTGTTGGTAAAGGACGGCTCCGAGTCCAGTGCCACTGGCATCAGTGTGGAGTTCAAAGGGCAGACAGGTCAGCATAGCCTAACACAGGAGGAGTGGTTAGTTTTTCCTTGATCTTCTCAAAAGCTGTTTGGCATTTCTCTGTCCACTTATCCCCAAAAGGCGTCTTCAGGGTGAGGTTTTTCTTCCCAGGAGTTCTTCCGAGTTTTAGCATGGTCTTCCCTTGTTGGGCCCATTCTTCAAATGCTACCTCTCCGGCTTTGATGGGTCTTGTACCAGAGAAGGTCTTCAGTCTGAGGTAGCTTGATGAGGGACGATCCCAATTCACCAGCACCTGTTGTGGGTCTGGGCGTACAGAGCTACGCTACCAACAACAGCACTCGAGCTTGCAACATTAGAGTCGCTAGCGGCGGGATTCTGTATGGGCAGCAGCAACATCGTTAGCCGCCAGAACAGGTGTGGGAGTTGTTGGATTTGGTTTGATGGATCCGGTGCTGGTCGTAGCTGATGGATGCTGTCGTAATAGCAGTTGGAACTCTTCCAGCATCTGCGACTTTATCGCCTCCATCATCAGGGCTGTCTTCCTGTCCAGGGCCTGATCTACTGCCCTGGCCACGACGTCTTCTAGAGAGGATCCTTCCCGAACCAAGTTCACTTTCATAACTTGATACTCCTCCTCTCTGATGAGTACAGTGTCCCCAAGCTTCAGAGGGACTTGAGGGCTCGTGAACTCCACGAGGTGCAGCTGATAAATAAAATCGAGCACCTGGAGAACCCGCACCTTCCCATAGCAAGGAGACAACTCCTCCTCAACCGACTCCGTTTTTGTTTCCTCCGGGAGCCCAATTATTCCAATTGATCGCTTTGGGTCAACTTTCATTGACAACATAGTGTCCAAGAGCTCAGAGTTCGTGAGCGAGGACATGTTGACAAAAATAGGAGATGAGGTTGAGGTACTGAGAATTCTTAGTTGACTAAGGCAACTAAGGGTAGGAGTATAGATACAAAATTATGCCTTATGTGCCAATGAGTGTATATCTTTGACCGTTGAGGAGTACTATGAACGCTTGCGACACTTTGCCCCACGTTGGACGCCAATGTAAGACTTGGGTAATTGCGGTGGTTGCGTAACAATTACGTCTCACGGTAAAAGGGATGGGCAAGTGTGTCTATTAGCGAAGTGCTCCAGTCAAAGATGACACAACACAAAAGACAGTAATAATATGTATTGAAATAAAAGGGTCTTGGTTTTACAGAGGTGCAAAGTTCCGACTGCACAGTCCAGGTGAAACCTAAAAACAAGCTGGCTTGTTGTCACCTCGACAGTGCAGGCAGAAAGAGCCATTGTACAGATACAATAATGAAAATAAATAATAATCCGACTGATATGTAGGATGTGACGACAATACTTAATAGGGGCAACAATATTATTAAAGGACAAATAAATACAATATTGGTACAAAAGTATATGTGCATATATGCGCACACAATCCCAAAGAGTATTTACATAAATACCTTTAATTACATAACCCAAAGAATCGTCACACCCTCCTATCAGAGGATTTACATAGGGCCCCACCTGAGGTGAGGTGAAAGTCACATTAACTTTAAGGGCCAATGGGAAGTATAAAAATACATATATATACACAAAGTGGGGCAATATTTATACCCAACACATTTGGAATATATGATACAGAAAACCGGTTGATTGATATACACAATAGCCACGACAGGACACCTGGCCTGTACGACACATGTGGCTAAGGGAAATGGGGTATGACTGCCTGTTGGATGATCATACTAGTCAATATGAGGCTAGCTCCAACAGAACGTCAATACACCCAGTAGGTATTACACCACTTGGGGCTACCCAGAATAAACACCTAATTGTAGTAAATAAATTGATAATATGTAATAACGGATATTACATGATTTATATTACTACAATTTGCAGGTATATTATTGGCCATATAATATAATACATTATATTATTATTGAATAAATTGTGACTTCACTTTCACATCAAGTGGGGAAACATACTAAAATATGATTGATATAGTTGCATGGTACTGGTAGTCAATGCTATGTTAAGATAACCATGAAGCAGACGACGGACCCTAGGTTTGTTTACATCCGGTGCAGCCATTTTGTAATGGAGCCGGACGGGAGCCGGAGAATGCCGAGGAGAGCCGAAGACAGCCCAGGCTGTGTGCTGCTCAGTGGAGAGGTCAGCACTGGTCAGTGAGCATGACCGCCACTAATTGGTTCCAGCTGACACCGTGATACTCTAACTGAGCACATGGTTTGGAAACCGGGACAGTGATACAGCCACTTTTTAATTTAGATTAAAATGGCAAAAAGAGTTCTGTTGTTAGCAGCAACAAGTTGTAAATAAATGGAATTTTGAATTTAGCAATGAGCTAGAGACAATTTTTGACTGGCAGGTCAAATAAGCAAATTAATGCTAAACAAACAAAGTACTTTACTAAAATGATTTTTTAGATGAAAATATATTACAATGAGTACATGTCATTTATTCTTGCCATCGAGTGCACGTTTGGACAGTCACAGATGAGTGACCTTTCGCCAGTTTGGCACAGCAAGAATAATTGATGACAGTGACCCAACAATTGTTTTAATTGTGATTTATCAAATTAAATAGTACATTAATTTAAAAGCCGCAGATAATTACTTATCCTGCTAACAACATAACTATACATAGGAATTTAATACAGAAGACCCAGTTGCCATATGGAAGCATACTGGGGTTCTTACCTAAAAAACAAGCTGGCTTGTTGTCACCTCGACAGTGCAGGCAGAAAGAGGAAGATTTCAGGCTTGGGGATCCCACGCTCCCTCTTGCCCCTGTCATGTGACAACATAGCCCCTGGGGATTGGCTAAAAAAACTGTTGCTATGGAACCCATAGCACCAGTGCCTTGAGCCCCAGAACCCTATCAGATAACTGGTAAAGGGCAGGATATTGGGTTACTTGTGCAAAAGACTAGGACAAAATATCCAGCCTTTACAGATACCTGAAAACAGTGAGAATATTATGAAAACATATGTTTTGTTTCATATTTCTGTCGCCATGTTGGACTATAGCTAAAACTTTAACACCCTATTTTCTGATCGTATACTTAAAGGTGGCCAAATATTAGAAACATTTGAGCTGAAGACCCATATTATGGGATGATTGAGTATAACAGTTTGGTGAAGATGGGTTAGTTTGTGAAGGGTTTGGCAATTCCAAGTTTGATTCAGTTAGAAATTGCAGAGACATCCTTACTGTGTGGTGCTCTGGTTGAGGATTTATTGCATCTCAGTACTGATCTGTTGCAATGATGAAAACTCGAAGTAAAAGCTACATATACAGAGCTCACACTCATGACTACAGAATAGAAATAAAGTAAATAGAAAAAGAGAAATGAACTGCTACAAACTGGGGCTGATAAATACACAGGGTCCAACAGATAAGTAACATCATATGAAATGTAAACGTAAATTCAAGGCCAAAATAATGACACTGCGATAGTTCAACACTAACATTGTATCGAATGAAATATATATTGCATCGTCGTTGCCCATGCTGACACATATTGTCAATACATCTCTTCGTGAAAGTGTTATGCCAGAACAGCTGAAGCGTGCAGCTATCATCCCTCTCCTCAAAAAGAAGAGCTTAGATCCTGAACAACTTAAAAACTATAGACCGGTATCGAATCTGACATTTGTCTCAAACCTGATAGAGCGTGCAGTTGTTATAAGACTCAAGTATCACCTACCCCTAAATGATTGCCAGGAAGAATTTTAATCTGCTTATCGTAACTTTCACAGCACAGAAACAGCATTGACGAAGGTTCAGAATGATCTTCTCATGGGAATAGATCAAGATGGGGCTGCTATTCTAGTGCTACAGGATCTCTCAGCTGCATTCGATACCATCGACCACAAGATATTCCTTTCAACTTTGGAAGGTACGTTTGGCACCAATGGAGTCGCATTGAAATGGTTGGAATCTTACATATCTAGCAGACAACAGACCGTCATGATAGATGGAGAGATATCAAGTGCCAAGAACCTTACATATGGTGTCCCACAGGGATCCGTACTAGGTCCTCTCGTCTTCACAATCTATACTTCCTCTCTTGGTGATATTGTGAGATCTTACAAGCTGGGCCTGCACTTGTATGCTGATGACACACAGGTTTACATGGCATTTAAACCACTGGTCAAGTCATCAGTCGATTTGAGTCAGTTCAGCAGTGTGTCGGTAGCATCAAGACATGGGTGACTTCTAACTTCCTGAAATTGAATGAGGAAAAAACAGAGCTTCTAGAATTCTGTTCCAAACGAAGTAAAAATTCTCTCTCCCTTCCAGAGTTATGCATTGGTGATTGTGCGATCTCTGTAAGCAAGGAAGCCCGGAATCTGGGTGTGATATTCGACTCGTGCCTGAACATGGAATCGCATATCAATAGCGTCTGCAAGCGTGCGTACTTCCATATTCACAATATCAGCATGATCAGGAGGTATCTCGATGTCAAGACCACCTCAGCTCTTATCCAAGCCTTCATCATGCCGAGACTTGATTACTGCAACTCGCTGCTGTTTGGAACATCTGAGCATCTACTTGGCAAGCTTCAGCGTGTGCAGAACACTGCAGTGAGGGTGATAGCCCGTCACCAGAAATACGACCACATCACCCCTGTACTCCACAGCCTACACTGGTTGCCAGTCAGATACAGGATCCAGTACAAAATACTGTTGTTAGTGTTCAAGTGTGTGAATGGACTTGCCCCCAGCTACCTTTCAAATCTTCTTAAAAAACACTACCCTCCCAGATCCTTACGGTCTGGTTCCCAGTATTTCTTGGAGGTACCAACCACCCGAACAAATACATTTGGCGACCGTTCATTCGCAAAAGCTGGTCGAGAAATGTGGAACAGTCTACCTATGAACCTGAGATCGCAAGAGAATCTACCAGCATTTAAGTCACAACTGAAAACTCATTTGTTCAGTACTGCCTACCGAACTTGACCAATGTCGTTCCAGACTCATTTCCAGCACTTTTGAGTGGCAGATGCCAGAATCTAGCGCTATATAAATATTTGTATGTATGTATGTATGTATGTATGTATGTAATGTAATGTAATGTAATGTAATGTAATGTATGTATGTATGTATGTATGTATGTATGTATGTATGTATGTATGTATGTATGTATGTATGTATGTATGTATGTATGTATATTGCACGTTTAGTAGGTGCATAAACATTGTGTACCAAGATGCAAAGTCACCGGTAGAATGTATCAGATAGTACGTCAGTGAGTATATTCTTACGTCAGATACAACCGGTGGTCCTTTCGTCTAAGGCGATGCAATTATGTAATTGTAGTTGTGCAGAGTTACTTCCCCTGAGCCATCAGACACCTATGGTCATCTGTTCGAATCCCTGATGCCCCAAGTTATGGTTTCTGGTTTGACAGCTCAGTAACCATGTCCGTGAGTTTCTCCAACGTGGTACACGTCTGACAAGTTCATGACGCCGTTCAAGGCATTGTTAAACCCAACTCACTCTTTGAGAATCGTGTGGTTCTGTTGCCAAACCACTTATAAGCCAATAATCTCCGCCTGACGAGTCACGCCGCAGGGAGTCCTCTCCAGCCAACACCTCCCTCACAGATGGCATAGGTGCACACTTTCCCATTAGCCTTATCTCTCATCCGTAAACTCATGAACTCTCTCAAAACTACGTGTTAAAAAAACAAACATAGCTTATGTAATTTTGTTTTAATGACAACCTGAGGTAATGTTTACAATAATATAAAAATTGAACAAAAAAAGCATCCAGGTGTGTTTTTATGTCTCCCGCAGTGATCGCTCTGGTCGGTTCTCTCACGGGGTTCAACTGTGTAATTACAAGTCTTTAACAGACAAGGAGAGAAGGAGGAGATTAGATTTACTGCTCGATTTCCAAACTCAGTTTGAGTGGAATGTGATAAATAAGCCATCTGTATAGCACATCATAGAATACGTGGCAGACAAGTCTGGGAGGCCCCTCACTTAACAGTACAGGGAACACATGGGACACGTTTGAAGGACTTCACTTGACCTTACCATGTATTAACAGAACGGGAACACTATTTGTGATCGCGATTCCGTAACCACAGACCGTTTAACACAACGATCACACCCATAACCATTTAAAGTAGGACCCAGGTGAACATTTAAACATATTTATATCGGGATTCTAGCTCTATTCTATTGTCAGAACGGTTTGTATACACAGACTATAAATATACTGACGGTAACTATGACCTGTGTTTTATATAACGCGTCAGCTGGACCAATCTTTGGTTGTCAAGTTGAACAACAACGCCCTGGGTGTTTCAGCTATCTGGTTTCTTGAGTGCACCGCTTACCTCCCTTGTATCAACACTAATTGTTGTCATTGCCGATATAGACAATGGCAATTGAATTGTTGCACCTGCCCCCTTTCACTGCTTGCCTCGCTGTTTCCTGTTACCAGGTATGGGTTATATCAATGCAGTCGTTATGAACCAACACTATGACCAAAACTGATATTTGTTTTTAGTTGAAACATCCCGGCATTGTGAAGATCTGGATCTTCAGCAACCCATGCTTGTCGTAAGGGGCCACTGGCTCGCTGACTTGGTTGATGAATGTCATCGTATCCCAATTGCTAAGATCGATTGTCATGATGTCAATCACTTCGGTGCTTGGTCAAGACTCGTGTATTGCAGACCGCCGTCACAAAGCTGGGGTGCAGCGTTAAACAAAAATCCACCAAACAACAAAACCCAACAACAAACAAACAAACGTTTGTGAAACACAGTTTCCTTTTCCGCTGATGTGCATGGATGTCAGAACCTTCACCGAGAGAGGGAAAAGTTTGTAATTAGCGTGTACAAGTGCGTGCAGTTGGTATGGTATACGTTCTAGTTGTACATGTATGTTTATCTTGAGATGGGGCGGTATGTGACTTAGTTTGTACAGGTTTTCACCTAGAGAGGGGGCAGTAGGTGACATACTTTGTACAGGTTTTTACCTAGATAGGGCGCGGTTTGTGAGATAGGGTTTTCACTTGGATAGGGGGCGGTATGTGACCTACTTTGAACAGGTTTTCACCTTGAAAGGGGGCGGAATGTGACCTAGTGTTTGCAGACTTTTACCTGGAGACAGGGCGATATATGACCTAGTTTGTACAGGTTTTCACTTGGATAGGGGGCGGTATGTGACCTACTTTGTAAAGGTTTTCACTTGGATAGGGGGCGGTATGTGACCTACTTTGTAAAGGTTTTCACTTGGATAGGGGGCGGTATGTGACCTACTTTGTAAAGGTTTTCACTTGGATAGAGGGCTGAATGTGACCTACTTTGTAAAGGTTTTCATTTGGATAGGGGGCTGTATGTGACCTACTTTGTACAGGTTTTCACTTTGATAGGGGGCGGTATGTGACCTACTTTGTAAAGGTTTTCACAATATAGGGTGCGGTATGTGACCTACTTTGTACATGTTGTACATAGTGTGTTCGTGTACATGTTTGAACCCGGTGTGGTTTAACCCTGTGCGCACGAGTGTTTATACAGCTATGGGGAATGGTGTTTGGCCTGGTGAATATAACTGTTCATGTACTAGTATCAGACTGGTGTGTTCTGACCCAGGGTATACAAGTGTTCGTACAGGTCAAAGTCTAAGGTGTTTTATTGTATCAAAGGCCATCAGCCCATATACAAGTTTACATAAATACACTGGTTGAGAATATACCGATTAGTAGATACAGTGGAAAAGATAAAAATATAAAATTCTGGTGAATGGTTATTGACTTAGTGAATACCGTAATAGACTGGAGATGGTATGCGAGGTGGGTTGTTCATCAACATGTCGGTCCAGACATCAGGTTCTGCCTCATCTCCCTGATGCAGACACAAGAAAGTGGTGCGTTCTCCACAGGCGTTCTCAGCTACATGGCAGAACATTACACGATCCATCAATTCGAGTCATTTCTTTGGAATTCAAGAACAAAATAGTCAGTAAATAGATAGACAGTTATGTGAATTTATGCCAAGGTCACGTCGAGGATCAGGCCGCTCTAACTCAACGTTCTGGAGCTGGCATTCCACAGAAGCGCCCCGTAAGACCACCGCCCTAACTGACTCAGCTGATACCAAGGCGAACTAAGTCAGATATCGAGTTTCATTCGTGATCAAGCATGAAATATAGGTTAAGCTCAGTTAATTGTGCACAATTACAGTAATCCTCACGGCTAAAGCTTTTCACTTGCATATAAGATAGTATAAGTCTAAAGTATATACAATTTTCACCGTCTCAGAAATTTACCATCATATTCAAATATACCAAGAGATGTGAGCTGCTGGATTTCCTGGCTGACAATCTCTTAGTCCAATTTGGAAATAGATCATGCAGAGAAGAAGCAGGTAACGATCGCAAAGAATACTGTTATATATGCCCTTCTACCAACTGAATCGGAATTGTCAAACAGTTATTCAAGTCATTCACAGACGAGTTTTTCGGTTTGTGCCATTGCCACAACTCTCTCAAAAGTTTCTTTGTGCAAATATAACATGAAAAAAACTTCTATTGGTTATGTGAGTGAATGGGTATTACGCGATATTACAGCCTTTTCACAGAAGTTCACAGAGACATATATATATCTCCCCTCACATGGAAAATGGTGTCGGAGTCTTCCTTAATGAGCAAGCGATTTGACTTTACTGCCTAAGCGCATCGTATATTAAACAAATACTCTTTCAAGGAATGAACTTCCTCAAAACAAAAGAATAAGCACACGTGATGTTTGATGTCAGGAAAAATGAGATGCAGCAAAACATCAGCATGTTGTTTTCAACTTACGTAGTGAAAACAATATTTTGGAACTCTCTAGGTGTCTGTGGAAACATATGTTCTTTCTTGTGCAATTCTTCATCCGGGAGATTAACGTTGCAAACAAGTGTCCGTGTTCACGAACCACCATGACATTTCTAAACCTTTCAGCAGGTTAGACTTACCCACCTGTTGGGATGCTTGCGTTCTTGGAACTGGTAAAGTAATACCTGTGAAGTGAGAACACCGATGAAAAAAACAAAACAGCTAATCAGTTTTTCACCGCAGAAATAGCTGACCTGACGTAACCTATTTGTTTGAAGCATATCCCATTTCTGTGATAGTTAGATCTGTCAGCGGGTGACACGTTAGGCGTGAGTCATAAGACTGGACCCAGTGCAGGGAATGAGAGAATGAGAGAAACAGAGGGAGAGATAGTGAGATAGTGAGGTAGTGAAAGCGACTAGGACGAAGGTCGACTGAACCACGTGAACCTGTGGCGGATATTTGTGGGATGTAGGGATTTAATTTATCTGCATATGTGTGTGTGTACATATGCGCGTGTATGTGCGTGTGTCTGGTGTGGGTTGGGGGTGGGGGGATGAGATGGTTCAATGCGTCCTGTAGGGCAGAGGTAGTCGGTTGGGATTAGTTGTATTACTTCAACATACAACACACAAACTAAGGGTGATATGGAAGAATTTAACTAAGGTAATTTGCTTGTTGTGGAACCTGTGGGTATTTGGCCACAACGCTTGCAGGTGTGGTGTTACAAGACGGTTTGGCTGATAAGGCTCGCTGGTGTTCATTGTTGCCAGTGGCTGCACGTGGACAGCGTTGCCTATGGAAAATGTAGCAGTGATTGCTGCCTTCCCAATATGTTTTGCTCATTGTATATTACAACCAGAACAACTTTGAAGGACTATTGGAGTCTAGTGCTGTCTCTATAAATATGTAACCATCATATGAACTATCTAACTTCATCCATGCCTCTGAAAACATCTATCTGGACACATGTTTCCTTTAAGTGGATTAGTTTTGTATATCGAACTCTTAGCGTTTATTGATGTGACGGTGTAATCATCACATTGGCTTTGTGCATTCGTCGTGTCTCTGTAACCATCACATAAAAAATATGTTATGTCTACTTACACATGTAACCATCATATATATACATTTTTCATTTGCCTGATTACATATATGTTAAAAATATCTTATGATATGTTGCGGGTTTATGTCAACTCTGGTAAGGTAAATTGGTACCTGCGGTAAGAATTCTTTGAGTTGTAACGGTTTTGGAGATGTATGGTTGAATGGGGGAGTTGAGAATATAGACTGTTTTTTGTTTGAATTTGTAAAAAGGATAAGAGATGTTTTAATTACAGAGTGGTGTGCCGGTTTAGAAACTTCTGCAAAATTTATGTACATTTAGGCGTTTGTAGACAATATTTGAACCAGAAATATTTAAATGTTGTTAAGATACAGAAGTATAGAAAATTATTAGCAAGTTTAAGGTGTGGAGTTTAAGTATTAAAAATAGAAACGGGGGGAGGCGGGGGGGGGCTAATGGTATTACCAGGGAGAAAAATATGATTTGTCAACTCTGTAAAAACGGTGAAATAGAAGATGAATTGCACTTTATGTTAGAATGCAAATCTCGTGATAATATACAGATATACATACCAGAAACATTTTCTAAAACTGCCAGTGGGGCATAATTTTATATCACTAATGGCCTCTAATAATGATGAATTAATTAAGAATGTAGTCTATTATATATATCATGCAACTGTATTAAGGAAATCTTTATTACGTTCATAACGCTTATGCGCATCATGTGATTTATTGTCTATGTAAATATTACTGGTACAACTTTTGTTATGAGCCGGTGGACTAAAAGCAGAAAATACACTATTGATGATGATCACTTTCATTTTTAGCTGTTTCTGCCCATTGCTGCCAATGTAAATGCTAAACCGTTATATGTGCTACCTGCCCTCGTTGCTGCCTATCTATTCTAAAAGAAAAATGCAAACGAACTTAATAAAATGTATAATGTGTAAAAAGCATAATGTGTATTCTGAACTTAAATAATGCATGTTTCAATGCATATTCATAAATATGCCTCCTTTACTGGATGGTCGTGATGCACAATTTGCACATGTATGCCAAAGCAGGGCGCACATTCTGTATGTTTGCGTGTTTGTTGAGAGCATGACGCACACGTGGTCTTTTTCATACTCATTTATATCGAACCATCGAACCACAAAATCATCTCTTTGGATCCTTTTTCAACAGCACTAATTACCTACCACGGACAGGTCATCCTCACATGACATCAGACCAACAAGACTACCATATACGGTTTGTGCACACTACGTAAGCAATACCAAGCTGCCACATTAATCAGCTCAGATAATTCCTAGGTTGAGAACAACTTGTGGCAGAATCGTACGCAACCTGCTGAATGAGCACAAACTCCGGCCCCGACGATCTGCGACATACCTATGATGCTTCCACGGTACCGTCCGACATAACTCAGCTTAGGGGAAAGTATTTGAGATTGAGAAGACGAGACAGGGATAGTATAGAAGCTGTTAGCAGATGACTCGTGCAAGGGTGTACAGGTGTCCAGCTGTTTCTGTCACAATACCGGTACCCTCATCCCCACCCTGCAGAACATGTCTGGAACAGAGACCATATACTGACATGGTCACTGTCTGGAATGAGAGGGGTAGACGACAACAAGATCAGACCCATCTGGTAATGCCGGCGCATCTTTATTTGACATTTGGTACAACATCCTCAAGGCTGTTTTGAATCACCTGGGCTCCGTTTCACAAAGCTATCGTAGCTCTGTGACTGTCGTACCTCCTATACTGTTACATAGACTTACGACCGTCGTAGCGCTACGAAAGCTTTGTGAAACGGGACTGTCACTCTAGTGTCTTTAATGCACCACAGGCTGCCTCAGCGGACATGGCAGTCACACTCAATATTGACATTGTTAATAGAGGTGTTATACCACCAATATTTCAAGACGTCTTTCTGTCTCCTGTAGGTTTCGTAAATGCATTCCTTAAACGTCCAAAGGCATACCATTTACATCACACTTTATGAAGCACAGTCTTTTGTATATTGCGGCATAAAGCCATACCATGGTCTATTGTGTGAATGCTTGGCATATCTGTATACCTATTGTTGCCAATATACTATTTACTGTATACATTTAACCGACCACAACAGAGACATCGTGCACATTTCTACTTTGTGTCTATCTCTCAATAACAATGAAAACAACGTGCACTCTTAGCGAAGCTCTCACAAGTAACCACATATGAAAATACAATATGTTCCGTATGATGTTGTACATCCACACACAGGATGCACTCCCTGCAGGTGGCTCTTCGATTCTCACCATAGATATGCATATACATGCCAGCGGAAAACACCAGCAGTGATAAATCCCTCGGAATGTATATTTAACTATATACACAGTTCACAATAATCTAGAAACTTCTTCACTTTTTTAAGTTCTCCATTCCTCTGGCATTCTCACTGGCTTGTTGTACGACAATGAAATATGAAACTCCAGTGTAAACAGTTGAAATGGAAATAGTTCTGGTTGTCTTGACAAATATGTATCAAGATTGGAAGGTTTTGGAGCTTGTGAATGTTACTACACTGTCAATAATACGTTCATTGAGAGAATGCTATAGTTCCCAGAAGTGCCATATGTTCTGCCAATGCAGCTGAAATGAGGAGGGCGTGGCATGCATGAACTCTCTACCTCTCCCCTCCCACCACAGTAATTTTATTACATCACATCCGGCTGGTGGAAATCCTTCAGCCTTTCAACAAGGGCAGTGGAGTGAAGCGAGTTTGTGAAAGTCATGCTACGCACATTTTATGCTTAATTGCAAAGCGAGTATATCCCAGCGTCCCGCTGTGGCAACACTGCTCTTCTCGTACTACGGACACGCCAGGCAGAATCGTCAGCCGACCCACGCTCACGGCTCTTTCTTCCAGGAATATTTAATGTCATCAAATCATTCACATATTTTATTGGAAGAATTCTGACATCTGCTCAGGACGCGACAAGCGGACCATTAAAGTGCGTGTTGAATACAGATATGTTGGTATTGCCATAATTATGTAATGCGACGTGCAAGGATGGTATCTCCAGACTGTTGTCTTTGACGTGATGTCCTGAATTGTGTCGTGTTGTACAGTTAAATCAGGTATTGGCGGAATTACTGTGTTGCGAAACTTCTGGATGTGAACAGTGTACATTTGGGAACAGTTATATCTGTGAACTTCATGTGGAAGTAATTAGTCAAGCTGCATGAAGGAAGTCAACGATGCTGTCATTGGGGGCACTTGTCTTCCTCGTCGGGTGTGTCATCAGGACCCGAGCCCAATACGGTGAGTAGGCATCACGGAGAACATTCTTTGCAAACATTTGACGAATTCCGGTCATGACAGTTTTCTCTTAAAGCATTTTTTATAACTTTTCCATGAGGATTATATGACTGGTTACTGTACTGGGAGAGGTTGCGCTAATGACTTAAACAGATTGTGTCGCTAAATTCCATTCCTGGTAGTGTACACTTATACATCGACACTTTCTAGCATGGCGACACTGGAATGTAAAAGTGGCACGTTTTCCCTCAAGCAAACATACAAAACCAGTTAAGAGCGTATTTTGCAGAAGGAAATTTGAGTCGACCACGTATTTCTATGAAAAAGAATGAATAGTTAGCACTTGAAGCACTAGCAGCAGAGATCCATGTCGCATATCTGCAGTTCTGGGGCAACTCATAAACACCTTGGCTCCCTCTACAGCTCATTACATCGCAATAGCACATCTTGGTTTACCACATGTATATTTTCGGAAAGTAAAATTATTAAATGAAAACTTAAAACCTATTACAATCTCACAGCTGATAAATGTATTGGACTCTAACAGCGCCTTGAGTGTTATTGGGGAACATAGAGGGTCTGTTTCCGACTATGCTGAACATGTACCTGGCGAGGACAGAACATGGCAGGGCATGGCAGGGTAAACGATATATTTTTACGACTAGATTGTGTATTTACAGTAACACAATTTGAAATCCCTGCAATAGACACATTCGTAAACAGACAGACAAGTGGAGCTACATGACACGAGTAACAGAATAATCTACATGTTTTTCAATAACACTTTGCAACATGTTCTATGTACTTCCATAAAAAGAATAATTGCTGATACATCAAATTAACTGGACCCTGAAGGAAGGAGGGAAAAGCTCAAATTGGCATGCTGAAATTAAAGACACTGATATAAATGCTCAAGTCACTGTCTGATTCGAGTCGGGTGAGGTCGTTTGGCCTATTGTGACTAATGTTCGACTGGAAATATATGATCATGTTATATATAATTCTTGACATGGTATATTTGACTTGCCTTTGCACGTGTTTGCTATAGATAGGGCAGGATACACCGACCTTTAAGAGAACACCCGACATTACATATCTACATCATGCAGGATGGGGTATTACTACAGAGTAGCATATTGTTACAGGGGGGATATTACTGTCTTACCATAGCGAAACGTCCGAGGTTAGGGTTGGGGTTTTACGGTATTCTTATACAGACACGCCACTACGCGAGGCTTTATTGCATTTACATATCTACATATACGCCTTACAGCATGGGATTTTACTCTTTTATCATATCGACAGATTTAGGTATGATTATATTTACATATCTGCACGGTATATTACTGCATTACTATATGCACAAGCCGCAGTGCGGTCTAGTGTTGTATTTACATCTCTTGATATCATAGGGTGGGATATCACTGCTTTACCAGATCGACACTTCAAAAATTGGGTTGTCATTGCAGCTACATCTCTACACGTCATAGGTTGGGATACTACTATATTTCCATATCGACGTGTCCAAGGTTGGGGCGTTATTGCATTTACATATCAACACGTCTAATGGTGGGGTATTATTGTATTACCATATGGACACATTACACGTTGCAATAGTACTGTATTACCATATGGACACATGACAAGTTGGGATAGTACTGTATTACCATATGGGCACGTGACAAGTTGGGATATTACTGTATTTTCATTACCTTATGGACACGTAACAGGTTGGGATATTACTGTATTACCATATGGACACGTGACAAGTTGGGATATTACTGTATTACCATATGGACACGTGACAAGTTGGGATAGTACTGTATTACCATATGGACACGTGACAAGTTGGGATATTACTGTATTACCATATGGACACGTGACAAGTTGGGATATTACTGTATTACCATATGGACACGTGACAAGTTGGGATATTATGCATTACCATATGGACACGTGACAAGTTGGGATATTACTCTATTACCATATGGACACGTGACAAGTTGGGATATTACTGTACTACCAAATGGACACGTGACAAGTTGGGATATTACTGTATTACCATATTTAAACGTGACGGGTTGGGATATTACTGCTTTACCAGATCGACACTTCAAAAATTGGGTTGTCATTGCAGCTACATCTCTACACGTCACAGGTTGGGATATTACTATATTTCCATATCGACGTGTCCAAGGTTGGGGCGTTATTGCATTTACATATCAACACGTCTAATGGTGGGATATTACTGTACTACCAAATGGACACGTGACAAGTTGGGATATTACTGTATTACCACATGGACATGTGACAAGTTGGGATATTACTGTATTACCAGACACGTGACAAGTTGGGATATTTCTGTCTTACCATATTAATAAGCGACAGGTTGGGATATTACTGTATTACCATATGGACACGTCACAGGTTGGGATATTACTGTATTACCAAATGGACACGTGACAAGTTGGGTATTACTGTATTATCATATGGACACGTGACAAGTTGGGATATTACTTTATCATATAATGGAGGTTGTTATTGGTGCAATAAAAAAATCTGATAAACTTGGTATCCAAATATGCAAATTACGTCAATCCACGAACTACTTTCACAAAACTCCATACACGCCATGCGAATCCTAAAACGTTAACATTTCATTGATGACGTAGTCACGAGTTTACATTGTTAGTAAACAAACATGGCTGCCCCCATTCTCAAAATTGGTGATTCTGTAAGAATTGATGACTGAGGTTCTGGAGTCGTTACTGCAGTAATTGACTTTAGAAAACATGAAACGGAGTACGAGCGTACTTCGTTCCCATTGAAGGTACGGATTATGAGGCACGACTGAAATGCAATCGTCTAAGAAAGGTACCAACCAAGGATTTCGATTTATCGATCACAATGCAGACGACGAATCGATTCCGTCAGGTATCAGAAACTGATATTGATGAGGTGATTACCCACAATGAAAATAGAAACACTGCCAGGAAAACTCTGCCCGGTTTTGTTGTTTCTCTTAGACAGAAAGAACTCATTTTAAGCATGAGTTTTGTTTGCACTGTATTAGCAACTAGTCACAACCATATGCCGTCGTCATGAACGACCTTAACCTTGGCGTACCGCTAAGTATTCTAACGCGAATGCTCGATTCTCTTCATATAAATTCACATACGATTTGCTTCTTTTTTTAGAGTAATTTTAAGAATGACATTATATGATAAAGAGAATTAACCTCGTTTGTTTCCGTATCATTAATATCATATATTAGGAATAAAAATTTATGTTTTATGCTCGCCAGAGGCTCGCATAATACAATTTTCATTCTTAATATATGATATTAATGATACGGAGACACACTCGGTTAATAATCTCTATGTATTGCCATATGGACACGTGACAGGTTGGGATATTACTGTATTACCATATTGATACGTGACAAGTTGGGATATTACTGTATTATTACTCGCCCGTCTAAAATACTGCAGTGTAATGTTTTAACGACAATATTACACTAGTGTAATACCGCTACATGTATGACGTCATAATGGTTTACAGTTATGACGTCACAATGCTAATACCTCTGTCACAATGGTATTAGACCTTGCTTGACTCGCGGAAAGCTGAGAGTCATCACACTGTAGACAGTTTCTATCAGTTTATGTTGGAGAGTAATAAACAGAATACTAAACTCGCTTCCGTGAAATACTATTTCTGTTGCTACTGGTAGTGTTTGTACAGGTGTTTCAGGATTACCTTCCCGAAGATGCACAGGAGACAGTAATAGTACCTGAGTACTAATTGCTACCCTTACACTACATTCTTCCAAAGTCTTCCCATTCAAGCCCCAGATGTCCCGAGACCCCCAGCTATTTCCCTCTGATGAGGATGATAGAGAAGTGTGAAGTTTATTCACCAAATACTTTTCTCCCATCCTCGTTATCTCTGCCTCGTTGTCGACGTAACTTAATCTGCTATGTTTTTAGTATGTTTTTAGAAGGCCCCGCCCCATGTTTTCACAAGTTCGAATGTGTTTCTCTGCTGCTTAAATTCAGTAAACTGGCTTACTGTAGACTAAGTACACGTGTCGGGGCTGGAGGGGGGATTTCTGGAGTTCCAACACATGCAGCAATTCGTTTTACAGATATATATTGCTTGCCGTTATGTTGTCAGACATGTAAACAGCACTGGAAGATAAACAAACATTTCTTATGCCATACAGTCATAAATATCTACTCAGCAAACCACTGACTTCCAATTGAAACACTTATGCGTTGGCACACATCTCAATGGCGTCAGTGATGATCATGTATTCAACAACAACCTTGTCAGTTTCCTCATCTTGTTAACACTTTGTTTAACTTAAATCGAATCTGACATTCCTAACATTAGTATTTACGGAAAACAAACAACTCTGGTGAAGGTTTGACTATATCATCATTACATCATAACTAACAGGTTTGACGTCAGCGAAAAAAAGGATGATTTTTCTATCAGTGGGGTCGAATGTGTTCAAATTGTTGTCCCTGTGTTTGATGTTTTAATAGTCTCACAGTCCGTTCCGTTCAGCCTTTTCTGCAATGCTAAAGCGCTAAATAAAGCAAGACTAGATTTCCTCAGGTTTCGAATCTCCCGAGTAACTGGGGCTCCTTTTTATTTTAAGTGGAAACATTTGTTTCAGTCAAAGTTATATGTCCTCCGAGGCTAAGTGTTAGTCTAGATGTATAACCCACCCCTCAGCTGGAATATAGCATTTATTCGTATCGGCAGGGAAGTCATAAAGGTGGAGTTGTCGGTCATATGGAAAAAGGCACATCAATTAATCCGTTGTCACTATTGGTCTTCTGTCATGGACATTATAATTGGTGGTATCTGTTATTCGCAGCAGTGCACTAACATGACCTCAAGTAGCTTCTGAAAAAGGGAACATTGAGCGTAAATTATTATCACAAAGAAAGACTTGTATATATCGCTGCAATTCCCAAAGACCAGATTATATT